GATGTGATGGACGCCCACCTCTGGAGGCAGTGCTGGTGAACGTTAGCCATACTTCCCATACAATTACACGGAGATATCATATCCGAGTGATTATCTGAATGTTGCAAATCGTTGTCATCGGTTTGATAGCAAATTCGGCAAAATATCGATTCTGTGCTCTCAATGGTTGTGATTGAAGACCTGGATAATAGCGAACGCACTGAAAGACTCAATGATATATCGTCGCCAATAAATTCATCACAATATCGGTTTGATAGCAAATTCGGCAAAATATCGATTCTGTGCTCTCAATGGTTGTGATTGAAGACCTGGATAATAGCGAACGCACTGAAAGACTCAATGATATATCGTCGCCAATAAATTCATCACAAATATTATCTCTGTCTATATTTGGATTCATTTTTACTTTAAAATTTCAATAATTCTTTGTGCGCTTTGTCTCAAAATATGTAACTTAAAGAATATTCTACAATAAAAATCATACTTGTAATGTATTATACTATATTTTAACTGATAATAAAAATAAATAATGCATTTTATAACAAATCAATTGCTTAGCAACACATTTATACATCTATTCAGTGCCGACAGATCCACAATCATATGAGTTGTTAGTAATTTGTTTATTGATTTGTTGTATTGTTTTAGTATAAAAGTCATACAATAGATTATATTTTACAGTTAAGATTGATTGATATACAGTACAGTATAGTATAGTACTGTAGTTAATTCATTAACATTCAGTATTGTATATAATTCATGCATTGGTTCAAAGAACAAACATTTTCATTGAACTCAATAAGTGAAAGACTTTTGACTATTCTTTTGTACAGAATATTCTGAATATTTAATTATTTATACATTTCAATACTTCAAATTGATATTTTATTTATCATTTAGATTTATTAATTTGACATCATATGCAATTAAATACATAATTAATTACTTAATCTGTTGATAATTCTCATAATAATAACTATTTTGTTTATTTAATAAAATAAATATTGAACTAATAAATTAATGATCTCTATATTATTTATATTATTATATGATATATTATATGTTATCATATAATTATAGGATGATCTGGATAACTAAAGTAAATATGCAAAAATATTTATTTATATACTGTAGAATATTGTAATAAAATATACAAGTATTTTAGTTCCTCAATAAATAAACTATTTTCCATTTTTATCATAAAATATAAAACATTTTTTATTTTAATATAAGTTAGTTTTAATGACAGTTATAGTAATTATAAAAATAAAAGCAATATTAGTTGTACATAATTATATTTCAATAACATCTGATTAGATACGTTAAAAATAAAAACTCTAAAATATATTATAATTGTAGAAAGACTTGAAATCAAATATAATTTTCACAGTTATTCACAACTACTTGTGGGACCGCATTATCATCGCTTGTATTCAAAACCAATTCAATGCTTATATTCTTCTCTCGCCATTCATGAAATGATTTATTAATGTACCTTTATCAAATAAAACACAATCAATATTAAACAATAGGGCGAGTATACGGTGGGAATTGATTGAAATGTTGTAACAGACCTGATGGTGCACAACAACATAATGGAGTAGAGAACCCATGAGAATATAGTTATGGCCCAAAGACTATAGACCAGAGCTTTCATTGAGTGCTGATCCGAATAGTTGACGAGTGATGACAATATTGTGGCCATAATTATGAGTGGTGTTGAGATCACCATCAGTGTTGTGATCACCAACTCTACGGTAAACTCTCTGCTCGAAATCACGGCTCTCATATACTATCATATAAAAGGAGTTCAATGTTAATACAATTTCTATATTTAAAAAATGCACACTTTGTCTATTAGTACATACTTTGAAAAATGTGGGATAAGTTTTATGAGAACTATAAGTGAAACCACAGATATCACAACAACTAGTGGAGGCGACGGATGCCCACCTTTGCAGACATTGGTGATGAACGTTAGCCATACTTCCCATACAATTGCAGGGAGATATCATCTCTGAGTTCCCAATGTCTGGGTTCTCGTTCTGATGACATATCCGACAAAATGTCGATTCATTGCTCTCTTTAGTAGTGTCCGAAGACTCGGTTCTTAATGATGTGACCGATAGGCTGATGGATATGTCATCTCTAATTGGATTATTAACACTTTGTTTGTCATCACCCGTAACATTGTAGTCAATAATATCAGAATGGTTTCTTAGATGACAATTATTCCCAACCGTTTGATCAGGCATTTAAATTACAATTTACAAATGTTTGAAATGACAATCAATTGAAATTAACGTGTTTTTAGTTTTATTTCACTTATAATGAGATACAGTATATTTAAAAAATAGATAAACTTTCAGAGTACGGTATTCATAGTATGAAATGTGATGACCAAGATATAATATTCGACACTTTTTTAGTCAGTTTCAAATGAATTTTGAGACCTGTACTCAAAGTAAAATTAAGGTCTACATTCATATTCACATTTATTAATGAAGTGTTTAGTATTACTTTATATCAAACATAATAATAAAAAAGAGTAGAATTTCTTATCTCTAAACAATGCCATCAACTGTTGTCCCGACAATACGACAATATCACACAAATCAGTCAAACAAATATCAATTTTTATATAAATACCAATATTAAATATTTTAAATGTTTGACAAATAAATCTGCAAAAATTACCTATATTTAATTAATTAATTTTATATTAATATTAATCATATTTCATCACATTAATAATGTTTTGAATTAGGTTTAAGTATTTGTGTTTAAAATACGAAAAAACATAATTCAAGGTGTGATTAGAGTCCTAAGCTCTTGCGTCTAATCCCCCATAAAATGATAAAAATAATAATTATTGTATAGAAATATAAATTCTGTTACTTTTCCATTGAATGTAAAGAATGCATATAAAAGATATTTACAGTGAATGAATTGATAATTCATCAAGTTCATCTAATACAGAGATTTAGTGTGGAATGAAAATTATAATTTATATATCGTAAATATAACTTGAACTTGTATAATAAAACTTGATTTATGACATAATATGACATATTATACTTTTTAAAAGAAATCCGTATTTTGAATGATTTGTAAATCAAAAACTTTTTTATAAACTTTTATAGTATAGAAACTACAGTACTACAGTATATCAGTACAAGTATACTTTACACGAATACTTTTTAAAATCTTGATTCCCAATTCATCCAAAATACAGTATTATACTGGGTACAATAACATGAAAAATAGTGTAAAAATTTAAAAATGCTAAATCCATTTACAATTGAACTATTGATGTGAATGGATTAGCAGAAATAATATTTATATTCGTAATAGTTTGACACTGAACAGTTATTACCAGTGAGTAACGCACTTACTTACTTATTTGTTAGTTTACTAGAAACTAGAATGATGAAATAACTGTTAACTGCTAACTAAAAATTATTTTATCTATTCCAAATCATAGCCCAGTATTTTTACATAATGTTATTATGTTCTTTTAAATAATACTGTACCGTACAGTACAACATCAACTAACAAGTACTGTGAGTAAACTTGTGGAGGCCTTCAATCATCTTTCGTAAGATTTAGTAAATTTGTAATGAAATGAAATTTATTTCACATTTTGACTCAATCTTCAAATTTTATTAATAAAATTTACAATAATATTATTAAATATTACGAACAATATTATACTATTTTGAATCAATTGCATTTCAAATAGATTAAATTGTTTTTAAGGCACTTACATAATATGTCCAGAATAATTTATCTCCAATATTCATAGTCTTATAAGTTAGTTAGCAATTTAATTGTTAGTGAAATTTTGTAGAAATTTTACAAAGACTATTAAACCGAAATAACTGTTAATTTAAATATAATTTAATAGAAAAAAGAATTAAAAATATATCAAATCTTAATTTTAAGCAAAAAATTATTATTACCATTATTACAGAATCTGTATTTATGAATTATCAGTGTATGGAAGAATAGTTACAAAACTTCAATAATTGTTCCTGATTCTTATTTATGATTAGAATTAACCTTGAATTAAACTTTTTGTAAATTCAAAAATACTGATAAATCCAAGATATTTGTACATCCTTTTGGTCACTCCATTCTTGACTATAGCTTCACATAAGTGTCTCAAAGTTGGTCTCAAAGTGCTTTAAATTTACACAAAGTGATGAACACAAGTACACTATTATATAAGTCTTATATTATACACAAAAATATAAAGGGCTGTCAATTCAGTTATCATAATGATTGTTGAGATCATTATTAGTTATACCGTACTGTCCGTACATAACTTATTTAACTGTTATATAGACAACTACTAATTAGGTCTTAATATGCAGTACGGTATGTGTTCGTATACAATAGGCAGTGCCCACAACGGTATATCCACTAAACAATTGACTTATGGCTCCAAAAGAGATTTAATTTGGGGAAATGAGGGGTTTAGGAATTAAAAACTTAAAAATATATACATTCCCAACAATTATTTAGTTTTATATTTGCATATTTCAAAAAACAAATGGTCATAATTATATAATTAATTATTATAAGAATAGAAAAGATTTAGACAGAAAAATAAGTTTCAACCTAATCATGGCATACAAAACGATTCAAATATATTTATAAAAAAGCAAATCAAACATATAATTCAAATGATTAGTGAAGTATTATATACTGTAATTATAAACATTACTAATGATTGTAATCTAAACCTTAGATTCTAAGTAAACCTATATTTATATTGAACTGCAATTTGTTGATTCAAATGACATTCACTTTTGTTTCGCACAATTTGGGTGATTATTATGATTACTACTATTACTACTACTATTAGTGCTATTTGTCTGATTACTACTACTATTCGTATTACAATTCTTGTGATTATTAACCATAGCTTTGATGCGATCCCTCAACTGCTGGACCGAAGACTCCAATTGTTGCACAAAATTGCGGCGAATCTTAATCTCCTTCTCGTAGTCCTCGACCTCTTTGTCATAGCGATGGGCTTCCGAGCACTTCCTCTGTCTGAGCCTCTGCGCCGCTAACCTATTCTTCTCCTTCTTGTCCTTCAGATGCAGTTCCATCTCTTCGGCGCTCCTTATCTTGCGTTTGCGACCCCTCTTCCGCTTCTCCACAGTCGTCGCCAATCCCTTCACGTCTGAGCCGTCGGTGCTGTTGGCGTTGCCCTCCAACTGTTGCGCTGATTTGCATTGAGTCACAAATAGACCACAATTTCAATAATGCTTTCATATATCATATGACACGACATGCCATACAAGTTATCAAATGGTCTAAACTATGCATTCATTTGCGACACAATTCTTGTGAAAAGTGTCATCAAATCAAATGAATCCTTCAGACAGTCCTCACGTATACTAACCGTTGGGTTTGACATCGCAGTCACCGCTGAGGTCGGTGTCGATGTAGAGGCGCTTCTTCGGGCTGGAGTCGCTGTGATCTCTCACAGCGGTGGTGTCGATCTGACTGGGGGTGAGGTTCCAGATGAAGTCGGAGGCACTGCTCGCCTCCTGAGACGCGATGCCATTCAATGTGTGGATGTCTTGAGACGACACCTGATAGCCGTCATCACTGGTTTGCGATGAGAAGCGCGTCTCTTGTGATGACGTGACTGTGGAGGAGGTGGTAGTCGTGACACTCATGTCCCGGATGTCAGTGATATGAGTGACAAACCAATCGCTAGTCTATTGCCGATTAAATCACACGAAATGCTCGCAAAACACGCCAAAAGTGTCGCAAAAACTTTTGTTTTGTTTTCGCATTTAAAGGCTTTTATCGCACTTTCAAAACAACACAACATTTTAATCCCTTTAATACTTTATGCCAACAAATACACCATATTTTGGTCCTTTTTATGCAGTAGGCAATATATTCCTTACTGCGGCACACATTGTGTATATAAAGGTACTGATTATCAAATGAGTAGTTAATGCGTGCAATGGATTAGACAGTGTGAGTTGAGCCCATTTGGCACATAATGTCTTTCATCACAAATAATGGCAATAAGTTGTGATGAAATTGCGAAACATTATTGCAATCACTGTATTGTCTATTATTATTATTACTGTAATATTAGTCATTCATATGATTCATATACACCTCAAAGCCATTTAAATCTTAATACACTATTAGTGGTGAAATAAATATGAAAATATTTATAAAATTAGACTTTTATTAAATTAAATTAATATTTTAAACAACAATTCATATAATATTGATAAGCATAACTGAATATCAAAACAAATACCATGTTACAATAATTGTAGATCTAATTCATATAATTTATATAAATACAAAACCTTTATTATCCTAAACCTTATATGAGATATGAGATAACAATCCAATTGTTACAGTACTGGACGTAATATATAGGCCACAAGTATTGCCGACTACTTGTTGAGCATAAATTTGGTCAATACTTGAGATGTGGTACCAGTGGGTGGGAAGGGGACGGGTTGTGGGCTATAAATAATCGGATCCCCACACGAGTACAGAGAGCCATAAGTACAGCGAATATGCGGTCAGTTTGGTCTCAATCCAGTGCCGCCTCATATGAATGGTCAGTGTCTGCCACCAGTAGTCGCAGTGTCGGAGTTGTTCCGAATGGACGGCACGAACGCATGAGCGCGACATCGTTATGAGTGACCGACGCTCACCTGCCGTTCCCAACACGAAGTCTATAGATCTCAATAAGTCATTAGTTTTAAACACTAATAACATCTGTCGGTCCACTTTAGCCAACACTTCTGATATTTGCGACAAGTATTGGGAGGCATACCGACGCAGTTCACCCGACTGTATGCACACAAACCAAACACATTAGCGTACAATCAAAATATGAGTTCATGAAAGTCAATGAATACCTCTTTCTTTTTAGTTTCCTTATCGACCGCTTTGTCGAGTCCTCTCTGAATGGCATTCCATGGCTTGGCTGTCATAATACAGGCCAACAGTGGATAGAGACTACCGACGCCTAGCGCTTCGCTCCATATCTTCATCTGAGGCACGTCTGCGTTGATCACCGCTAACCACATACGAGAGTAGTCGTGACGAAACTTTTCTGTCAATTGCTTTACGAATACAACAAAACAATACTGATATTAAAATTCACAAATTATTATACATTTAATGGCTTATTCTTGACATCATTTAGAAATGAGTTAAAACACTATAATGACTCATATTAATAGATAACAACTAAGACATGACATACGGTATACAATCCGTGGTCCAGAAGAATGATCTGTGGACTGTTGTCGGGGCACTTGTTGACGAGAATGTTGCCGGGATGGGGGTCGCAGTGGACATTGCCCTCTAAGAAGATCATTTGGCTGTACATCAGTCCCAACCGGTGCGACACTTCACGACAACTGATCCCATGTTCAGTCATATACTTCTTGTCCGTCACTTCGCATCCGTTCACGTATTCCATGACTAATAGACGATCGGATGTGAGGCTCCACTCAATCGACGGAATCTTAAGCCACGAATAGTTGGCGAAAGTACGGGCCAGTCGTTCGGCATTACGGCCTTCATTAATGAAGTCCAACTCCAACGGGAGGTTACGTTTGGTCTCTTCGGCTAACCATAGGAACGAGAATTCGGGGAATATTTTGTCGACCAAATTGACCAAAACATCCATTGTCTTCATGTCCACATAACTGTGCCGTTTGACGAACGGGTGCTGCACTTTCACGGCCACCACTCGCCCGTCCTTAAGGCGCGCCTTATGCACCTGTGCCAGAGAGGCCGCACCTATGGGCTCCTCCACGAAGTCCGAGAACAGCTCTTCAGTCTTTTTGCCCGTCTCTTCCGCGATCACCTCAACGCACAAACACATCATTAGTACTCATGAATAATGCTATTATAGTTGGCCATCAATTTGGACACAATTTAGTGGTCAAACAATTGGCAAAATTAACTCTATTTGTATAATTAACACCTAATTCTACACTAAATTGCATTCATTGATGAGATATTTGTTATTTTCATAAATATTGACTTTAATGTCAAATGATTAGTCTCTCACTTGACTTCATTCACGTCATAAGTATTTCAAATAAAGGCCACAAAACTATTACATTATTTTATCGTAAAACAAGTGATTAGTGCCTAAAATAAGGTCAATATTTGCCACAAATGTCAACAACTGAAGAAGTGGTCCACAAATTACTCGTTTGATGTCATGGAGTGAAGAACGGGGGGCTCTGCTGTGGAGGACCTTAAGTGTGTTGACGTACTCGTGAGGGACGAGGTATTCAAGAGCAGCGATATGTTGGCCTACTTTGATGAATACCCCGCCGTTAGTACAGCACAACTCCAACAGCCGGTCGGCCGACCTCTGGTGGACGGCTGACCAGCGCTCCACTGCGTCTGCGGACGTGTCCTTCAGACCAGACACCGACCACTTGTAGTCCACCGCTATTTGGCTCACAGTCACCGCCGCCCGACCCATACGTACCACTCCTATGTTACGCGCGTCCCTACAACCAGACAACCATTATATGACCACATATATGACCATGCTCACTTGTACAGCA